AAAAAGTCAGACGAAATTTCGTCTATCCCTACCTTAATCCTTAAAATACCTTAAAAAACGACGTTTAATCCAATTTTTTTTCGATTATAAAAAGTTAATGAACCGTTAAAAAAAAGATATATAAGAAACTTTTTTTATCGTAAATTGCAAAACAAACTTTGTTGAAAAAAAATGCCTAAAATTTTTTGGCATTTATTAAATTAAACGAAATAAAGTTAAAAGAAAGTTATTTGTAAAACCTGTATCTGTAAGTATATTTTTATTAACAAATTTTTTGAAACTTTTTTAATCTTATTTTTAAATGATTATATTTTTTCTAGATTGTTTATCCATACGTTCCGGAGAACGTTTATAAAACTCCACAAATTTATATACCTCAAGTGGTAAAAACTAGACCACTCAAGAGTGATAATGAAGACATGTATAATAACCAATTAGAATATTATGGCCATTTGCCAGAAATAGATCACGGTAAATTTATAATTTGTTAGAAAAAAGATATATAAAAAATTGTTTTATATAATTTTTTTATAATTATAATATTTTTTGGATCAAATAGGAATAATGGATAGGATAATGAAACATGCGTCAAAATTTAAATCCTTATATCACCTTATACAACATTTTTATTTTGGTTAAATTAACGATATTTTAATTGTATTTTTAAAAAAATTATAAAAAAATCATTTAAATTTTGTTCTTTCTAAAAATTTTAAAATATATGGCGCGAAGACATTATCGTAAAAGAAGAAGTAGTAAACATCGAGGTAAAGGGAAAGTATTAACTAGAGTTAAAAATCTAGCTAGACTTATTCTTAGATCTGACGTATGAGGTTACGCTCTCGATTATTATTACGCTCTCGATTATTTGCAAAAACAACGCAATGTGTAAAACGTGTAGAAAAACAAAAAGAAATTATTCAAGAAAAAAAAAACGTTTTAGAAAAAGAATTCGAGGTCCTGGAGAAATGTTAGCTGGTTTGGCAGGCTCAGTGGAGGATTAAGACTTCTTGGGGCCCAGGGCTATTTTTAATTTTGGGGGCCTTTTTATGGGTCAGACCTCTAAATTTTTTGGGGGCACCTAAATTTGTGGGGCCCGGGGCTATAGTCTCCCTAGCCCCCCCTCCCTTGATCCGGCACTGGGCAGGCTTATATTTAATGAAAAAACTTGAAAAAAATTCAATATATAATTCTATAAATAAATCACCCGTAGTTCATTCTATATGGAATGCTATAAAAACAAAATAATAAACTATTTAAATAATATAAAGAAAAGATTATAAAAAAACCCATAAAAATAAAAACATTTTATTTATCATATTATATTGCGTAGAAGACGTGGTCGTGGTAGAGTTTATTTGCCACCGTTAAAAGGAGCGGGTAAAAGACGATTAAGAAAACGCATGCGTGGTAAATTGGTCCAGCATTAGCAATATTAGGATCTGTTTTAGGATCTGCATTAATTAGATAATATGCATAAGAAATGAACAGAAAGAAAAAAAAAGCGTTCTAAAAAACACTGCAAAAAACGCACACGTGGAAAATATGTCTGCAATACGAGCAATTGCTTTAAGACTTTTACCAAGACTTTTACCTGTAGTAGGAAGAGCCGCTTTGGGTGGCGCAGTTTCGGGAGGAATATCTTATGGAATCAATCAAGTTGGAAAATAAATTTTTTTGTATCATTTTATTTTATTAAAAATTGTATTACATCCGTTTATATACTCGTGTTTTAAATTAAATTTTTCGTACCCTTTATAATAATTAATAAAATTTTCCAAGCGTTTTAATAATGCAACTAAATGTTTGTTTCGTATATCAAATTTCCATATGATAAACGATTCGAAACTCGATCATTTTCGAAATCATAAAGTTCTTTCAAATTTGTAAAGTTTGTTATTTCTGTAATACAATCTAACTTGTCCATCATTTCTTCCAGGGTGTGGAGTCGGAGTTGCGGAGTTGCGACAATTTTAGCAGAGTCGGAGTCGGAGTCGCTAAAAAATATCACGACTCCGACTTCGATAGTAAAATTTCTTGGTATTGCACGTGTATGTACAAAACATTCAATTAACCTTATGTTCATACTAAACCTCAAAGAATGTTTCATAAATTTGTCAAAAAAAAATTTTAACTTATCGCGCAATATTTTTTAAAGAATTTTTCAAAAATTTTGCTTTGGAGTTGGAGTAGGAGTTGTACTCAAAAAATTTCAACAACTGGAGTTCGAGGCAGAGTTGTACTCAAAAAACTTCAACAACTGGAGTCGGAGCCGTTTCTTTTTTTTTACGACTCCACACCCCTGATTTCTTCAATTGATTTTCTTTTTTCAGTATTATTTAACACTTCTTTACATTTTATCTTCATTTCTTTCAGGTTCATTTTGCTTTATTTCTTTTTCATAACTTTCAATTAACTGACAGATAAAAAAATGGAAAACTCCAAAAAAGATCACTATGATTATACTTAATATCAATATTATACCTAATAACAAACGTATCAAAAATTCTATCAAACAAATCAAAAATATAATTGTAAAACTAATTAATAGCTTGAACAGAAACACGCATATTTTTAACAACAATTTTGCAAACTTTTCAGGTTTTAAAAAGTTATAGATTTGCAATGCACTTGATATAACAAAATTTTCAACAGGTTGAAAAAAGTTACATATTTGTGTAGCACTTTTTTTAACAAAATACAAAATTTCCATTTAAAATGCAAAAAGAACTTCTATAATTGTATAAACAAGAAGCTTTAACGAACTTCAAAACTATGTATTTGATTACCATGAGAATCGCACGTATATATATTCGATTTCAGTTTCTCTGAATTGTACAGTTTTACAACAGCAACTGTACATCTTTTTTTTAACGGTTCATTAACTTTTTATAATCAAAAAAAAAAAATTAGATTAATGGTCATTTTTTTTAAAATATTAAAGGATTAAGGTAGGGAATGATTGCTTGAATTTGAGAAAGGGACATATCATCACAAAAAGTTCATCAAGGCTTGTAGTCTTGATAACTTTAGAATCAAACAAGCACGACGCGTAAACACAAGTAAGAAATAAATTGTTCATAACTCTAATATTATTCAAGTTTCTTTTGCAAACAAAAGAGAACAAATCGCCGTGGCGATTGCAGTGATTTCACTGCAATCGCCATCAACTACAACAATTTAACGGAGTTTCTGCACGAGAAGACAGGACTTCAGCTCAGCAAGATGCGTTTAACGAAACTCGAGCTAGACTTAAAAAGAAAAACAAAGAACTGAAAGATGCTGAAATTCTCGAAAAACCGTTTCGGAATGTCATCCACAAAAGAACCGGTCAAATATGTTGTATTGATGTCACTAAGTCAAATGATCCAAAGAAATATGTGTTCGCCTCAGCAACGACAGCTCTCAACGAATATCGACGAAGCAATACAGCAGCTACAACAAACGCCACTCAAGAGAAAACGTCCGCCTGAAAAAATCACCCAAAAAACACCCAGCATTCCTGAAATAAATAAAAATAATCTGTCTCCTGTAAATCTCTTCTTTTGGGCCAACAATCCATGCTCGTTAAATAAAAATAAACACAACGAAGCCATAATCCGTTTACACAATTTAGACGTTAAAAATAATCCACACATTTTATTCTTCACCGAAACTTGATACAACAGAACGAGTGACACGGTTATACCAGGCTATCAAACTCATGGAAGAGATAGAGACGGAAAATAAGGTGGCGTGGCCATTTATATACAAGAAAAAATAAAAACATTAGAAAACAATTTTGCACAACTAAACTCAGACTACATTGAACAAATGTCGCGCGTTATTAAGCTTTGCAACAACTTGATTCTTCTCGGATGTATATATCGACCACATGACTTTAATGACGAAACTCTCAAAAACTGTAGAGCATCTATCAAATCTTCTAAAGCTGCCGACCAAAGGTTAGAGTGTGATTTTATTTTGATCTATGGTGACTTTAATTTTAACAACACATTTTATGAGCATATTGAGATTGGCGGCGGCGTGGCGACAACAGCGCACGTGCTAAATGAACGACCGGGTGACACTTCAAGATTGCTAAAACGAATGCTTACTCACACAATTGATCACCTTCAAAACATATTGTAACAACAGATGTTCAGAGCCGAACAGTACTCTCGACCTAGTAATACCAGAAAAGCCAGATCTCTTATATATCGACAAAAACTTTGAGATTAGCCGTGTTAAATTATGAAGAGAACCTAGCTCATTTATATAAAAACGACCCTAAAAAGCTACACGCTCATATCAAAAACAGTATCAACTCAAAATATGTATTCAACTCTATAGAAACAACTGATGGAACAATTTCAACAGATCTTCAAATTATTTGCACAACCCTGAACAATTACTTTCAATCAGTATTTGTAAACGAGCCAGACGGACCTGTGCCGGAATTGGAACCCCTAACTGATAACAAATGTATATTAAACGAGAATATTTTTTCAATCAACGATATCCGTGTTCAACTCGCAAACCTAGACGAATTTGAGTCATTTGGTGTTGAAAACATTCACCCATGTGTACTCAAACACTGCGCAGAAGCTTTCGCAAGCTTAACGTTAATTTTCAAGAAATCTTTTTCAACCAGCGCTGTACCAGACCTCTGGAGGAAATCCAACATCACGCCCCTTTTCAAGAAAGGAGGCAATCTAAAAGCATCGAATTATGATGCAAATAGTTGATGTTCTTTAATCTGGAAAAATGTAAAAGAATGCATGTTGGTCGAGGTAATACAAAATCTAATCAAGTCTATTCAATAACAAACACAGACGGCACTCGTCGAAACCTGGAGGAACTGAAACTGAACGAGATCTAGGTATTCTGATACCAAATGACCTCAAAGTCCATGCTCAAGTGGAGTCTGCAGTCCAAGTTGCCAATTACAAATTGGGCCTATTCAAAGATGCTAACCCAAAGCAGAAGCATTCGTCTCTGGCAAATGCTTTAATTCACATATGTGCGCCCACAGTTGGAATTTGCTATTCAAGCATGGTCTTCTTACCTAAAAAAAGATATCAATATGCTTAAAAGAGTTCAGTGCAGAACAACAAAAGTTTTCTCTATCAAACATCTCCCATATGAGCAACGTTTAAATATATTCAGATTGACAACACTGGAAAAGAGAAGAGCCAGAGGAGATCTTATTTAGCAGTTTAAAATTGTGAATAAAATTGATGATGTTAATTTTTTTGTTCCTCAAAGATTCTCTAACAATGCATATAGCACGAGAAGTCATATATTCATAAGTTCTATTATATTCATTAAGTCATATAGTCAACGCATATAGCAGAAGAAGCCACTTGTGACTTTTTTTCAAATCTAATGTGAATATGTCTGGAGTTAAATGAGTATCAAGTCGCTAACAATTTTTTTGCTACGCAGAAAAATTGCGACTTCACATGACTTAACAATTTTTTTGCGAAGCT